ATAATGGTGGCAGTAGCTCTTCAGGTTTGTAAATCATCTTTTATTGGACTCATCTTCTCTTCCTCCTCCTCCGTTTGCTGAGTTTGTGCTTTTGTAAATTAAGAACAAAAGAAAGAAAATTGCATTTGGGTTTTGTCTCTAGGCAACCATTAGTTGATGGAGTTTTTACATGATATCAGATACCTTAAGATTTTTTCTGAAATTTTATGTTATTGATTATAGTTACCTCTTCCTTGATTGCTGGAAAAGTGGACGGCTTTGGAATATTACTGACCATCACCCAAAAAAAAAAAACAAAAAACAAAAAAAGTCAATACGTGGGAGACGGGATGGCTTATTTAATTCTGTTTTTTTATCGTGCCGAGCGCACCTCTCTGGGGGAGGTCATAAGAACCTTTGGGATTCCGTCGAATGGATAGTTTACCATTGTAATCCACTCCGGCAGTTGCACTTGCACTTATTTTAATGTTAACATTGCGGGCAATCCTGAGATTAGCTACTCATGATTGGCATGATTATACGCTAGGATATCCGACTTCCTAGGAACCAGGCAAAGGACTAATTCCTTGTCGTGTAAGTAGTCAACTTTGAATATTAAGGAAGTCAACAGGGTTGACAAATGCCACTGAGGATGTAATGCTGTTAAATTAAGGGTATCCAACTTCCTAGGAACTTAATTTGTTTCTTTAACTTTATTCAAGGTTTCATTTTGATTAAGAGGTTAAAGGGCAAAACACCTATCAACTTTTTCTTGTGGCACCCAATATCCTTAAGTGAATAAGGGTGCAAAAATACTCCTAAACTGGCCTTAATAGGTGCAATTTCCCTGGACCATTAAAAGGGGCAATCATCTGTTAATTTTATTGGGTGGGTCCTACAATCATGTTTCCTTCCCTTTGATGTGTTCCTTTCTTTCTCTTCTCTCTGTGGTTCCTTCCCTTTTCTTCTCTCTCTTCCTCTTGCTTTGCCCCCCATTACTCATGGGCATTCCACCATTGAGGTTGTCAATACTAATTTTGAACAACCATGTTGTCGGGGGAGCGATCTACCTTGAACCTTGAACTTTGGTGAGTAGAGAGGGAGAAGGGAGACTTGCCGATAGAGTCAATGGGGTTGTGGAGAGTGAGCTCCCCAGGTCTTGTACGCATGGCTTTAGGCTTACAATGGGAGGTGAGAATAGAGAGGAAGAGGAAGGTGGAGACGAGAGAAAGTAGAGGGGTTGGGGTGGCAAGCTTTGGTCATGTTGGCAGTCATGGGGGGAAGTGGACGGTGAGGAGGAGCAATTGATGTTTCTTGTGCTTGTGTTTATGACTTTTCTTTCTCCTTCTACTCTTATGAGGAGGTGGTTTTTGCATGTCTTCATTAGGTGCTAGTGTCTCTGCCACCACCGCTGGGGTTAGTGTTACTGTGGCCATCAATGGTGAAGAAACATGTGATGGTATTATTGGTGCTTTCTTTTTAGGCGTTGGGGCTGGTGCTATCACTCCCTTCACAGTGGTCTTCCTTTTATCCAAATTCTCTGGTTTACTTTGATTTGACTTGAAAATGGCTGATATTGTACAATATAGATGTGGTCGATGAACTTGAGCAACGTAGACTCTTTAGTTGCTGTGAAATTGCGAAGATTGTGAATTAGCGTTGGAAATCCAAATATAGACTTAGGCGTTCAATCCTCTCAAGCGGGACTTCTTAGTCTATACTGAATACGAGGCTTAGCTTGATGTGGTCCGGAGACTCTGCAAGAAGTTGGTGGTGTTGCATGAGTCCAGGAGTCAAGGAAATGGGAAGAAGAAGAGGAAGAAGTCCAAGTCGGATTTCACTTGCGTGTTGAGGATTATGGAGATTTATGAGTTGGCTTTGAAGCAGTGCAAAGGTGATATTAATCTATGGTGGTGAGGGAAAGAGAGAGAGGAGAGAGAGAGAGAAGGGGAGAGAGAGGAGAGGAGAGAGCGAAACAGAAATGTTGAGGCAAGTGAGGGATGAGAGAGAGATAGAAAAGAAGAGGAGAGGGAAGTGGAAGGCCTATGGGAATTTGACCACTTGGCATGACTATGGGATGCATCCTAAAAAAAATAACAGACATTTGCTCTTGTTAACAACTCGAGGAAAATTGCAGCTGCTAAGACTAGCTTATGGGTATTTTTGCACCTTTGTTTACTTAAGGATACTAAGTGCTCTTGGAAAAAAAATTAATGGGTATTTTTGCCATTTAACCCTTTAATAAAATTAAGGTGTCTTTTCAATCTTCTAACCCTAACACTGATCATTTCATTGACAAAAGATGTTAGATAAAATATTCTCAAATATTGACATATTAAGTTTAATTTTTCAAAATAATATTGATTGGCAAAAAAAAAAAAATCATAAATTGGGACTAACAATATTAAGATTAGAGGACAGAAAAGATATTTTTATAAAATTAGGGGGCCAAATTGAAACTTTATATAAAGTAAGAGGACCAAAAGCATACTTTTGCTGATGTCCTTTTATCTTGTCATTAGCATGTTGTAAAATGATTAAATGACTGTATAGATACTAATATCATTTTAAAAGGTGCTCTTTGTGTGTGTCATTAGCTCTTTAAAAGTGCTATGTTATGATTTCAAAAAGATACTAATGTCATTAGTATCTTTTAATAGATACTAATACCTTTAGCATCTTGGATGCCTTATGCTAAAGGGCTGATTATTAGTGCAACTTTATGTCACTTTGCCTTGTGTGCACACGTGATTATTGGATTTTGCGTTTTCTTTTTTTTTTTTTATCTTTATCATGTCTTCTACATGCTTTTCTTGGTATATGTTCCTTCAAGGATTTTGCGGTTTCTAGACTGTCTAGTTGTGAATCAGCAATGATCTTTGTTCTTTGCAACATTAATTATGATTAACTAGATGTGGGGCTTGTGCCATGAGCACTAGGGTACTCATGTTTCCTACTCTTGCTCAGGCGTTTCTGGGAGAGGGTTGTGTAAAGTGAGCACATTACCTGTAGAAATATCACATACTGATAAATTGGAGTCAAGTTCAAGTCAGTCTAAGTTGGAAAGATCCAAAACAGAGAGACAGAGACATCTATGGCCTGAGGATGCGGCACAGATTTTTGATGAGAAAATTCCTGTCCAACAGAAGGTAATTCACTGTGATCTAGAAACTTTTGGCTTTCCCTACTCTCTTCCCTAGTTTCTGAGCATTCTTTCAACCCCCTTCCAATGGCTAATTGTAGGAGTTTTATTAGCTAGTAGCTACTTACTATTCTGCTTCAATTATTATACAACTGTTGGGTATTCTAAATTGTGGAGTTTTGACAATCTTTTTTTAAGCATAATTGGTTTTCTTGTGAGAAATGAGGAATTCTTTGGCCAATAAAAATTTCATTCATTGGAACCTTATGAACTCTTTGTGTGAAAAAAAAAAATGGTTAACGTTAGTTTTCAAACTCACGGTGTAATTTTTTCACATCATCATCATCATCTTATATTTTAAGCTTATAGGCATGAACCCTCAGTTGAATTTATAATTGTGCAGCTTAAATTGTTCAACAGAATAGCTACTGTAAAGGGTGATGGGACAGTAGAATTTGATGTCCCAGGAGACGTAGAACCTGAAGCCCTTAGGGTTCGATCCAAACATGTTGATAATGTAGTTGATGATGATTCACTTGATGCAACAGACCTTCAGTACATACCTCCATTACAGATAGTAATGCTTATTGTTGGCACACGTGGTGATGTGCAACCATTTATTGCAATAGGCAAACGATTGCAGGTATATCAAATTTTGCTTGTCCTTATATTTTTATATGATTTTTTTCACCCCCTTGTAGAAGTTGTGAGAGTCCAATTCCAATGGTTTAAAAAAAATGTTGTTCATACTTCATAGTAAGACGTTTTACTGAATAAAGAAAGCACCTTGCATCAACTGATGAAATTGGTCCCAGTAGTGATTCCTAGAAGGCTTAGCCTTGGGGTTTCAAGATGGAATGCTGACACCAAGTCCAGAGCATAAAGAAAGCGCCTCATATCAACATATTGCCACCTAACTCCTCTCAAATCTAAAAGAAAATCAGTGATAATTTTTTGAATTTGCTGGAAATGTATGCTAAAATATTGATAGTTCTGAATATTCTAAGTTGCTTCACAATTATTAGTAGCGTTGTGAAAACTTGGTGTTCAGAAACCATTGCCTTAGGCTTTTTCTGTGATTATGGGATTCCTTGGAGCCTTTTTTGAGCTTCATTTGGATGTGGATGTGTTATATATTTTTTTAATTTCTGTTATAATTTTTGTTATCTGTTTTTGAATAACAGATTGAGAGAATTTCCTTAGTTATTGAGATTTCTCTTGATCTGATTTAATTGTAATCACTCTGTTATGAGGAAATAATATCAGGAGAATGCCTAGGGAGGGTTGATAGAGGCTTCCTGGTAGAGCAGAGAATAAGGCCAAGCCCATCAAGTTGTCTATTTAAGGGTCTATTTGGGTAATGTTCAAAAGTACACTCAAACCACATTTGGAATGTATGTTTGCCAAATCTAACAAACAGTTGTATCCTTGAAATGGATTTTTGTCGAATATAAATTGAAAATCAAACACACACTAAATCTTTTTTTGGACTCGTGATAGGGCTACCTCCTTAAATTCATTTTTATTTTGACCTCACAAAATTGAGGTACTTCATATCATTGGATTAAATTTAAATCTTAAATATGTGTTTGTACTTTAAAATTATGATTTGTATTACTTATTTTGGATTTTAGAACATTTTCATTTGTCTTTAAAGCATAAATATATAATTTTATAATGACAAACTTAATTTTTAAAAAATAAAAATTAGGCTCTTAGACCTGGTCTTGAGCCCAATCGATAAAGGTAGGGCTTGAAGAAATAGTCAATTATTGGGTAATAGGACTTTCATGCCCAAACCCATAAGGGTTATGTCTATATGGGTTGAGCCTGCTTGTTTCCTCACTCTACTTCTTGGTGTCATTCACTCTGAAAACATGTATTGTGAGTGTCCAATTATTCTTTCATAACTTTCATGCTATAAAAACATTTGAATTGGCATATCAACCTTCTTTACAGGTGATAACTGAGTTAGATGACACCTTTGATATTTATGCATTTACTGAATAATCAATTACGTGATTCTATTGGCAAATGAACTTCACCTTAATGCTTCTTGTATTCTTTATATCTTATCTATCGTGCTGCTTAATAAAGTATGAGCAGATAAAACTTTGGTGTATGTCACTTGTAGATTGTCAAGGCTAAGTAGTCATCCCGTTGGTAGATAAAGGAAATTACTGCTGCAATTCTCTTGGTTTACAAAAGGAAAGACTATATTAGAAGAAAACAATGCATTGCAGGCAGACATAATTCTCCTTTTCTCATTTTTATGATCTTCCCAGCAAATTTTCATCTTACCCTTATTCTGTTTTAATTCTCTTATATGTCTTAGTCAGTCCACGTTGTAGTGTCCTGAAGTACATGCTTTGGCTGCATTTTAGCAGGTCAAACTTCCAAAAATTATTTTAGATTGGGATGCAACATTGAAATGATACTGGGTGTTTCATGTCTTAATGGCATTTGAAAGTCTTTGTTTAAACTTTTGCCTGATATTATATGCTGTCTTGATTATTGCTCCGCTTTTACAGCTTGAATAAATGCTATTACTCCATTTTCATTCCTAATTGCTGCAGCATTTGTTCTTTGCTACCCAGGTTAATGCTTTGTAATTATCTCCTTCCTTGCACAAAGGTTTTTACTAGCTGCTAATTGATATTGAGTATACTTTGATACGTTACTCCAACTTCTATTGGTGAAATATATTTGCTTATTAAATTGTTCAAATAACTATCTTACAGAAAATTATGTGTCCAGTGAAATTTGAAGTTATAAATTTTCGGTTTTGTTGAAGATTCTGAGTTAAAATTTGAGGCTTTTATATGCATTTATGTGCAGGACTATGGTCATCGTGTTAGATTAGCTACTCATTCAAATTTTAAGGAGTTTGTCCTGACAGCTGGCTTGGAGTTTTATCGTTTAGGCGGTGATCCAAAAGTCCTTGCTGGTTGTATGTACCATAAACCCATGTACATTTCTACTAAATTATCTGCGTGATCATTGTTTATCAGTCCTCCTGCTCTTTGTGTTTTGGTTTTGTATTTGTGGTTGAAACTGGTTTAAGGGTATTTTCTGAAGAACCTCTGACTCAGCCTGTTTCAAAGTGCTACTGTATATGGTGCATTTGGCACGCTGTATTAATTTGGCTTAGGTGTTTCTTGATATTATTGCATTGCATCCTTGTCGGGGCTTTTCACCTTAATAATGTGCAAGTGTGATATGTGCATGTTTATCCATTAATTTTTTTTTCCCCTTTTTATGAAAGAATTTTACAAAATATTCTAATTTGTTAGATCTTTCACAGTTGGTTCTCATAACCAAATGGAATTTTTTTTGTCCCGTTGTCAGAGACTAAATTGCATTTAGGAAGGCTGTGCATGTGTGTGCTTATATTTTCATTTTTTTTTATTAGATACGAGCCATTGGGACTACTTTACAAGCTTGTAGTGCAGGACAATCAATTTCTAGCCACTCCTTTTTTTTTAAAAAAAAAAAATTACTTCCTTAGCTATGTAAGCTGTTTCAAAATATGTTTTGAAGTCTTGTGTTTTTTTTTTTTTTATTTTCAAAATCTTTGTCACTTTAAAATTTCAACGAGTATTAATTATTTTTGTAAAATTTTACCCTTCATTAATTACAACAATCATATGTCAACTGATCTCAAATACTCTTTCTTCATTACTCAACGATATTTTAGTCAAATAACATAAAATTTTACTATAAATCTCTATTATTGTGCATGTTATTACATTAACCAGTAGATGCTTTGAAATGGAGGTTGTATCCTCTTGCTTGTCCTAAAATTCGCCATGTCCATCTTCTATGTCTTGTTTTCTGTTATCTTTAGAGCAAGTGGCAAGGATAAGAAACGTTTGAGTCGCAAGAAAAGTTTGTGCTTGCCCGCTTGGTGAGACCCATTGTTACTAGATTGTTTGAACTTTATGTATGTGTATCTTAAATCATTGTAAATCCTGCTTTATTAACCCCCTTGTGGTTTTGTAACTGTTTCTCTTTTAAGTTATGGATGGCTAAAAAATTGGATGTGTACTCTTGCCAAGAATTTGGCTGTGTAATATATTTTCTTCACCCTAATCATTTTCTAGGCAGCAAGCTCTTTTCCTCCTCGAATGAAGCTTGTTTTCCTGGAATGGTCTAAAACAGATGTCTGTTGATTTAATCTGTCATGAATGTTCTACCAAAAATATATATATATATATATCTGTCATGAATGAAGTACTCGTGGAGTTCAGATCATGGGATTATAGTCTTCTTTATAATTATTTTTGTATTGTAACTTTCCATTTTCCTTTCTGGAGCAGATATGGTTAAGAATAAGGGCTTCCTGCCATCAGGACCTTCTGAGATACCTATTCAGCGAAATCAGATCAAGGATATCATCAACTCTTTGCTTCCAGCCTGTAAGGAACCTGATATGGATTCTGGTGTCTCCTTCAAAGCGGATGCAATCATTGCCAATCCACCAGCGTATGGTATGTTTTCTTGATCATTACATTTGAAAATATAATGTATTGAATTTGTGCACTGATAATTGCCTTTCAAGTTCTTGTGATGAATTAGGATCTATCAAGCTGGCATGACTGTAATTTCAAATTTAAAGATTTAGACAAAGTCTTCAAGCCAAATGGGGCATGGTCATTACATTAGTAGCTTCTGTGGGTCAAAATGAAGCAATATGCGAACAGGAGAATGCAAACTATGCTTCAAGCTTTGGGTGGTGACTTTTGAAACTCAGCAAAGGGATCATTGTCAGGAATAAAGTAGAACTTTGAACAAATAAAACATTTATATAGAAAGGCTGTGCTTCAAATCTATGATTATTCCTCTCCCTTAAGCACTTGCAAGGATATGTCATCGAAGATTCCTGTTAGGAGTAGGAAACCCTAGCATTTGATTAGATTTATTTTATCTTTTTTTTATAAATTCATAGGTTTTATATTATCTTTTAAATTAAATTAGTTTGGATTAGGATTTATAGGATTTACCCTATTGTCCTATTTTATTTAGGAATGTCTTATCTTATTTAGGATTATTTTAGATTTTATTATTTAAATAATTGTACCTAGGGTTCTATAAATTACCCTATTTTTCTCTAATTATTTGACCTTTTTGATGAATTGAATAAAGTCAAGAATTTTGTGCTCACTCTCTCTCTCTTAAATTCTTCTTGCCCCCTCAATTTCTCTTTGTTTTCTCCTTCCTTTCTTTCCATCTCTCCCTTGTCCCCTTCTCTCTACTTCCTTCCCCTCCTCCATTTCCATCAATTTGGCATCAGAGTCAGGTCATCTTAGAATTGTTGCCTGAGAGTATAGTTGGGACAAAATCACTAATGACTAATACCCCTTAAATTGTTTTGAGTCTATGATACTTTAATAACTAAAGAGGTCCATGGAGTCCCATTGGCAACTTTACTTTCTAGAGGAGGTCTTTTAAGCTGGGAAGAATAATGGAAAATGGAAGACTTTATCAGGAGTTGGGAACCTTAGGATTTGATCACATTGAATTTGTGTGATTTTTATTTTAAATTCTTAGGAGTTATATTATCTTTAAATAAAATTAGTTTGGATCCAGATTTGTAGGATTTAACCTGTTATCCTATCTTATTGGGAATTGTCTTATCTTATTTAGGATTATTTTATATTATATTATTTAAACAATTGTACCTAGGGTTCTATTAGGAGCACTATTTTTTTTTTATGAATTGAATAAAGTTAAGAATTTTGTTCTCATTCTCTCCTCCAAGTTCCCCCCCCCCCAATTTTCTCTTTGTTTCTCCCTCCTTTTCTTTGTTTCTCACCCCTTTACCTTCTCTTAACCCTTTTCTCTGTGAGGCGATTTTCCTTCAATGCACCACAACAAAGGGAGGAGGAGGAGAAGAAGAAAAGAAACAAAAGGCCCTCAGCTTCAGTTACCCTTCGAATTGATGTTTAAACTTAAATTGCCTTCTCTCGCCCAAGGCTTCTGCACAGAATTTATGGCTTGTTCCATTGCTTGCACTTAAAGGTGCTCTTGACAGATAGAACTTTTCATTAACTTAAAATCATAATTTGTCTGAACCTCTCAACCTAAATACTGATAGATGAATATTGGATGGAAGAAAGCTTCCATATTATTCCCTTGAATCTTTGGCATGTTTACAGAATTCCATTTTATATAATTCCATAATTCCATTGATTGATTGCTGATTTTAAGATCCATTAAAATATTTCTTTTATCACTGTGAATCAAAATGGTCTGGAAAATCTGCCTCAGAAAGAGACCTTGAGCTCCATCAATAGACTATATTTCTCATCATATTCTAACTTTAGTTGCAAGATGATATGCCATGCTGTCTTATATCTCACTGGCTTCCAGTTTTTTTCTTTTCTTGTCCCTGCTAGATAAGATATGTTATCATGGAATAATTGTTGCTTCTACTTTCTAATTTGGTTGCTGTTTCTATACTGCTCTTTTCTTTGTTTTTACTATGCCTTTTTCTGCCTGCTTGTTAATTATATTGTTTGACTGGTCTGAAATTGCAATATCCTTCTTTAGGGCATACCCACGTGCAGAGGCACTGAAAATTCCAATACATATATTTTTCACCATGCCATGGACGTAAGTCTCATCTTGGTAATGTGATCTTGTTGTTTCACAATTTCATTCAGTTATTTTTCAGTCTATTGTTTTTTATTCATGTTCTTTACCTATTGATTGTGTTAGTTTAAGTTTTGCGGGGGATTCGTATCTATTATATGTATTTTTCCTTTTCCTTCCAGTCCAACCAGTGAATTTCCACATCCTTTGTCCCGTGTAAAGCAACAAGCTGGTTACAGGGTGAGTTATTTAATTTGTATCTGTTATCATCTTCCTTTCATTCCCCCTTTTTTCGGTTGCCCTCTTATTTTGCTCAAAACTGATCATTTCTAACTCTTTCAGCTTTCATATCAAATTGTTGACTCATTGATTTGGCTGGGAATACGGGACATGATTAATGATCTTAGGAAGAAAAAGCTGAAATTGCGACCAGTCACATATCTAAGTGGTTCACAAGGCTCAGACACTGATGTTCCACATGCATATATATGGAGTCCTCACCTTGTTCCTAAACCAAAAGGTGGTTGCTTCAGAATATTTTTTAATGCTTTTTATGTCGTCATTTTATTAGGAGTTGATAGATACTGTTCTATATCCTAGCAGAGATTTCTTGAATCCTCTATTGCATGACTCTAGTGCTTTGTGTTCTGCTCATATTCTTTATGATAAAAATAATTAACTTCTATATATATTCATTCTTTTCCTTGGTCTCCCGTTGTGGTTAGATGTAATGGATAAAAATATCATTTCAATGAATAGAAAGGTCTATGGCATGATTCTCTTGACTGGCAATAGTTGTATCCAATGAGGATATTTCTCAATAACTTTTACTAGGTTGAATTCTGTTTCTCAATATCCAATATGGATGTTTTACTGTTATATATTAACAGTATGGTCAGTGTTGAGAAATTCAAACGACTAATTCTATATTCTGAAGCTTAGTCTTTTGGAATAAACATTAAATCCCTGTTTTTTCTTGGTTGGCAGATTGGGGACCAAAAATTGATGTGGTAGGATTTTGCTTCCTTGATCTTGCATCAAACTATGAACCTGCTGAGTCCCTTGTAAAGTGGCTTGAAGCTGGTGACAAGCCCATTTATGTTGGATTTGGTAGCCTGGTGAGTCTTCTTACACCCACTTTTTATGTCTTTTATTCATATATGAATTCTCTGTGCTGAATCTAGCTTTAGGAATATGGTTTGGTGACTCATCATTTTTACTGAGTGACAAAATGGATTCTGATGACAAGGTACCTCCTCAAAGTATCTATCAAGTGTTATCTTGCTTCCATTTACTTTGATACATGGAGTAACAAGCAAAGTTGTATTGTCTATTTTTAAAATCAAGGACCTTAGAACTATTATTATCATGAGAGTTACACAATCTGAGTTTTTTCCTTGTCTATTTTTTATTGTTGGATTAGATTGCAAATCTTGACGCAATTGTAATAAGGTTTAAGGATTTATATTTTTGTTTTTTGTTTCACCCCATACTAGGCATTGTAATCTATTTTAAAAGCCACTGCGAGTTAGTGACCTTCTGGTTATTATGACTTGCGGAATGCTGAATTTTGTGTTTGTTTACCATCCTATAGTGTCGAGGAATTACTGAAAGATTTTATATCTTGAGGATCAAATGTTTTATTTTGTTTGAAAAACTTTTAAGGCTTGATAGGAAAGAGAAATCAGACTTGTTTTACCTCATTGCTTGTCACCGCCATGATCTTATTACAGCCTGTTGAAGAGCCAGAAAAAATGACTCAAATAATTGTAGAAGCACTGGAGAAAACTGGGCAGAGGGGCATCATCAATAAAGGATGGGGGGGTCTAGGGAATTGTAAGGATATTGCTTATTCTTTCTTCTCCTATGATATTAATTAATTAATTAATTAATTTATTTTTGATTATATATGCTTCTTCCCAGTGGCAGAACCAAAGGATTCAATATACTTATTGGATAATGTTCCTCATGATTGGCTATTCTTACGCTGCAAGGCTGTGGTAAGATTTTCTAGTTTGTTTACTCTGGTTCAGCACGTTATGATAGTAACCTAGATATTGCTGAATCACCAATTTTCTCATAGTTGAAATAATGGAGAACTGCTTTTATCGGGAAGGGGGGGGGGAGAATGGAGAACTGCAGATTCATGCTAAGTGCAGAAAAGCTTAGAATTCTGTGGCCCAAAAGGGGAAAAAAGAAAATTTTAGAATTATCAAGTCCATTTTGAATTTAGTAATCTTTACTTTAAAAGTTAGGTTTTCTTTAATTTGTTTTGAATTATATTTGATCTTATCTTTTATTTTATCTTATTTAGGTTTAAATTATTTTAAATAATCATTATATTTGATCATGATTTTTAATAATTGTACTTAGAGCTCTATAAATAGCCCTAAGGTTATTTCAATGTTAGACCTGTTTGGTCTATCAAATAATATACAGAATATATTGTTGTCACTCTCCCAATTTCTCTACCTGTCCCTTCATTCTTCTCTTATCCTCCCTCCTCCTTTTTCCCTTTTCCTACATCATGTAATTATGCTAGTTTGTAGCAGTTGTGGACTTTTTGTGCTCGCTGACTAAGTTCTTTTGGTTCAAACTTGGAAGGGTATGTTGGGCTATGGCTTAAACAACCATATAGGGGAGTATATGTTGTGGTGACTAAAAAATTTGATCAGTGCAATCCCATACAACTATATAGGGTTGATTTTTGTTGTAATAAACTGCCTAGAGTATTCTAGTGTTGAACATTTAATGGAGTTATATATACTACTCCCTCCATTCCAAATTATAGGGCACTTTTGAAGGAGTTTTTCCATCCCAAAATATAAGACACTTTGGGTATATCAAGGTTTCATTAAATGTATCAATTCCAATATTACCCTTTCTCTCTCTGTAATTAATTTTCGTCCATTCTCTTTTTAATATATTAAAAGATGGGTATTTTTGAAAGTTCATATTTTTGTTTTGGAAAGATAAGGTTGTTAAGTGTATTTAATGAGGTTTATTGGTATGTGAGATTTTGTCTAAAAGTGTCTTATAATTTGGGATGGAAGGAGTATTATAATTAATTTTGGCCAAACAAGCAAGAAGCAATACAGTTGAGTTGAGATTATAATGAATAAGCTAAAGTAATATAGCAAATAAAAATTGCAATGCAACCAGCCAACCACTAAGGACGTCACTATGGAATTGGACTTTAACTTCTGGGGAACTAATTATGAACTTGAGCTATGACTCTTTTCATTTGTAATAGTGATCATTACTTTACTAATGTATCCTAATAATCTGTTGGTCTATTAGTTTGAATCTAATTAACCATAATTATCTTTCAATCGAACTGACATTAATCTAACTTGTTAAGCCATGACCTTAAACTATGACAACCACCTAGACCTATTTCTAATCTCGATATATCATGTTTAACTTCTTAGTTCTAGAATTAGATTTCACTTGTCCGTCCTCACCTAGCTCCAAGGATTAGATTAAGAGATTGTTAGACAAACAATCCACAATAAGCAAAAAGAAGATTGACATGAATAGGAGTTCAATCTATAACTATTAATCAAATACACAAAGTCATGGAACAAATGTTTGAATAAATTTTCCGTGGGTTAGGATACATCCTTACATCTAGCTTGGGGATTTAGCAATTCATATATGAAATGAACAATAAAGATGTTCTAGAATCCCAAAAAATCGATTCAAAAATAAAGGAAAAGATAAACTTAGAATTGACTGGTGGGAATGATGTTCTCCGTCTATCTCTCCTTGATTTGCCTTCTTTTTCAATCTTATCCTTGATATCTCTGTTTAGAAAGGCTCCAAAAGTGCTTTAAAATGAGTTCTAGCTGCTTCTTGGATGACCAATGTTGAACCCCCCCTTTTTTTATTGTCCCCCAATTTATGGATGCTTTACTAGGTTAAAACTGAACTCCGCCTATGTTTATAGCCGGTCCCAAGCCCGGGTAAAGGAGGAGGGTTGTGTTAGGCCATCAACAGCCAATGTAAAAATTTGTTGAATCTATCATGAACATGGACAATAGACGTTATAATGTTAATGCTAGGTCGTTGCCCGTAAGTAACGCGCTGCATGGCTCGAGTACAGTGATAAGTGAGTTAGAGCCGCTGCATCGGCGCCCGGATGTAGTGTTAAATGAGCAAGGGCTACCGCGTCATTCTGGACGCACGCGGCTAAAGAAGTTAGTCCATAAGAGCAAAATTAGATTTGGTACTTGGAATGTTGGGACATTAAATTGTAAATCTGTAGAGGTTGTAGGGGTTATGATTCAAAGGAAAATCAATATCCTTTGCTTGCAAGAAACAAAATGGCGTGGAGAAAGAGCTAAGGATATTCAAGGTTTCAAACTTTGGTATACAGGAAAAGTAAGTGCACGCAATGGAGTAGGCATCATTATAGATAAGGAGTGGAAGAAGAACGTTGTAGAAGTTAGCAGAATTGGAGACAGAATTATTTCTTTAAAAATGATAATTGGACGTGAGACTGTTAATATTGTTAGCGCTTATGCGCCGCAAGTCGGGACAGAAGCCAGTCTTAAGGAATTATTTTGGGAGGATCTGGAGGGGTTGATTCGACACATACCACAGAGTGAAAAGATTTTTATTGGAGGAGACTTTAATGCGCATGTCGGGAGGGAAGCTGGTCAGTATGCGAGGGTGCATGGTGGTTTTGGTTTTGGAGAGCTAAACAATGAAGGGCAAACTCTTCTTGATTTCTCATTGGCATATGATTTTAAATTGCCAACACTTGTTTCAAGAAGAGAGATGAGCATCTCATCACTTACAAAAGTGGAGCCTCAAGGTCGCAGATTGATTTTCTTTTGGTTAGGAACACAGATAGAAAACTTTGTAAAAATTGTAAGGTGATCCCTGGAGATGCTGTAACGACACAACACAGGGTCCTAGTCCTTGATGTGTGTATTATGAGTAAAATCCAAAAACGTCGACAAGTAGTAACACCAAGGATTAGGTGGTGGCAATTAAAAGGTGAGAAGCAAGATATTTTCAAGCAAAATCTTTTGGATAAAGGAATTTGGGATTCTCAGGGAAGTGCTAACATCATATGGGAGGATATGGCTAAAAAGATACGGGAGGTTGCAAAAGTAGTTTTGGGAGAATCGAAAGGTTCTGGTCCGAGAGATAAGGAGTCTTGGTGGTGGAATAATAGTGTACAGGACAAAATCAAGTATAAGAAGAACTGTTTTAAAGCCATACATTTGTGTAACAATGAGGAAAATTGGGAGAGGTACCGTATGGCTAAGAAGGAAACTAAGAGAGCCGTGGGTGAAGCTCGTTCCAAAGCTTTTGAAGAATTTTATAAGAACCTTGAGACGAAGGAAGGAGAGCAAAATATTTATAAGATTGCCAAGAGTAGGGAAAGAAAATCAAGAGATCTAGAACAGGTAAGGTGTATTAAGGATGAAGAGGGAAGAATTTTAGTTACAGATGATGAAATTAAAAATAGATGGGAGACTTATTTTTCTAAACTTTTCAATGATGGAGAGGATTCATCTAGTAACTTGGAGGATTTAGTAACTGGTGAAGGAGAACAAAATTTGTCATTCTATCGAAAAATACGTGATAAGGAGGTAAAGGAAGCTCTTAAGAAAATGGCAAATGGTAGAGCTAACGGACCTGATTGTATATCTATCGAAGCGTGGAAATGTTTAGGTGAAGAAGGGGTGAGATGGTTAACTAAGTTATTTAATGTGATTTTACGGTCCAAGAAAATGCCTGATGAGTGGAGGAGAAGTACATTAATTCCTATTTATAAAAATAAAGGAGATATTCAGAATTGTACTAACTATAGAGGGATTAAACTCATGAGCCACACAATGAAATTGTGGGAGAAAGTAATTGAGCACAGGTTGAGATTGGAGACAAGTATTTCTGAGAATCAATTTGGTTTTATGCCAGGTAGATCAACTACAGAGGCGATTTATCTACTAAGGGGATTAATGGAAAAGTATCGTTGTAAAGATAAAGATCTACACATGGTTTTTATTGATTTGGAAAAAGCTTATGACCGTATACCAAGAGAAGTGCTTTGGAAAGCGTTGGAAAAAAAGGGAGTACGGATTGCTTATATTAAAGCCATACAAGATATGTATGAGGGGGTAAAAACTAGTATAAGAACGCCTAGTGGTCAAACAAAGGATTTTCCTATAAAGATTGGACTACATCAGGGATCATCTCTGAGTCCTTATTTGTTCAACTTGATTTTAAATGTTTTGACGGAACATATTCAAGAGGAAATCCCGAAATGTATGCTCTTTGCGGATGATATAGTTCTTATAGCAGAGACAAGAGAAGAGGTTAATTGCAAACTTGAGTTATGGAGGAGGACATTGGAGTCGAAAGGTTTTCGTCTGAGTAGAAGTAAGACGGAATATTTATATTGTAAATTTGGTAAAGGACTATTCGAAAATAATTTCGAAGTGAAATTGGGAGATCAAATTATACCTCAAGTGGAAAAGTTTAGATATTTGGGAGCCATTATTCAAAATGATGGCGAAATCAGTGGAGATATTTCACATAGAATTCAAGCTGGGTGGTTTAATTGGAGAAAAGCTAAAGGAGTTATTTGTGACCGTAGGGTGCCTAATAAACTTAAAGGAAAGTTTTATCGTACTGCTATCAGACCGGCAATGTTATATAGTAGTGAATGCTGGGCTCTAACGGGACAGCAAGAGCATAAAGTTGGAGTAGCAGAGATGAGAATGTTACGATGGATGTGCGGACATACACGTAAAGATAAAATTCGAAATGAGCACATACGTGAAAAAGTGAGGGTGGCACCTATTGAGGAAAAAATGGTAGAAAATCGGTTGAGATGGTTTGGGCATGTACAAAGAAGACCAAGGGAGGCACCAGTGAGAAGAGTGGAACATATAACTTTGAGTCCGATTAAGAGAGGTAGAGGAAGGCCTAAGAGAACACTTTTGGAAGTTGTTGAACGTGATCTCTTAATTAATAATATTTCTAAAAGCTTAATAAATGATAGAGCACAATGGCGTCTTGCAATCCATGTAGCCGACCCCACCTAGTGGGATAAAGGCTTGTTGTTGTTGTTGTTGTTTGTTGTTTACTAGGTTAAAACTGCTCAAAAAGCTCGTCCTTCTGATCAAAACTGATGCCAGGTCAGTCATGCACCATCATGACTGGTGCCAGGTCTTCTCGTAACTTGTCTTTCTGCCATCCACAATCCTAATCTGTGTTAGATCAAGCTCAACTGGTGCCGATTATGCTGCTGTGCATTTTGGCTTGGTTTGATGCGATTTTGGACTTCATTTCATGTGATTATGTTCCTGATGGCTTCTTGCAAGTATTGATGGATGAAATCATGTGAAATACCCTTGAGATAGTCATATTTTGCATCAATATTAACCAAAATGGTGCCGATATAAGTGTGAAAATTGCACTCATTACTATGATATGCATTTATTACAAGGTGGTGGTCATACTTGAGTGTTTAAGGCATGGTTTAAAACATGATCACTCAAGAATTCAAGCCAACCAAGCTGTCTCTTAGAGTAGGTTTGATTATGAGTCTGCACATTGAGAATTGCAGTTCTTGTCAACCATGCGGGATGAACCTGCCCTTGCAATTCTATTTGTTATTTTTGGAAGATATAAACCTTCTCTATGGTGATTATGTAGCATCGACCTTGTATGAACTGGTATAACTGAGTCTATTTGGTGTTGATGCTGACTAAGGCAGCTGGATAACCCTTCCTTTTTGTCAAGTCATATGTTGACTAATTGATATATAACTAGCTATTTTTCTCATCAGCTTATTGCAAGTGCTTAAGTTCCGTTGGTAGTTTATACTACTGGATAAGGCCTATTTCATATAGCTGAGTCTACCTAGTGGGATAAGACGTTGTTGGAGTTCAATGCAAAAAGGATAGTAAATTTATACTTGCATCATTTTTTATTGTTAGGTGTGGATTATAGTTTGTTATACCTTTGTTGATCAGTGACTGCACAATGAAATCTTATACAGTAACGCTTGAATGTCTTTGCTGCACTCTTTGGATGATAAGAAGGGTGTGGGGGACTGCATTATTTAACAAACTAAAGATTTGAATAAAGCGATCTGAGTAGAATTCAAGCTCTTGGCAACATTAAATGATTGAGACTTGGCTGTGCCAGCAGAAGATTTATGTTCATTTTATTAATCTTAATAATATTTATAAATACATATATTTTCCATAGGGTTATGTTTCGCCGAGTTTCTTTTAGTGTTTTTTATATTTTCCGTAGGGTTATATTTTGCCAACTTTCTTTTAGTGTTTCAGTTTCTCCTGATGAAATTTCATGCATAATTTTTATTGGATAAAATAGTAAACAAAGGTGACATTCAGGTTCATCATGGAGGTGCTGGAACAACGGCTGCTGGGTTAAAAGCTGCTGTAAGGAATTTGTAGTTTCTTGAATTCTTTATATAATATTATTTGGTTATGCTTTCTTCTTATTGTTGTACTTTGTGATAGTGCCCGACAACCATAGTTCCTTTCTTTGGCGATCAACCGTTCTGGGGTGATAGAGTACATGCCAGAGGAGTCGGCCCTGCACCTATTCCAGTTGATGAGTTTTCACTGCCCAAGTTAGTCGACGCAATAAATTATATGCTAGATTCCAAGGTGAAAAATAAATTCTCTCTACTAGTCAATTTATTTAGTTTGATCCTACTGAAAGCCTGGAGAGAGCCAGAGAGGAACCTGCTTCATCCAAAAGAAGATTGTGGGGCTAAAATCTTATGGCTTTGTCTATTTTGGCCTGCGAATTATGCATTCGTAATGTTGATTTGTGAATATGTGGATTGTGATAAGAAAAATCTAAGCTTACGAGAAGTCTTACATGACTACAGTATTGCGATTGGGTTCAGTGCAAAATCTGGACCGTCCTGATTTTTCAGTTTTTATTTTATATTTTATTTTATATTTATTAAAATAAAAAATAGAAAATTTTAATAAATTTATCTTATTATCAATCTAAATAATACAGATTTAATCTGGATGGTCCAAATTAATATTAATTTTTTTTAAAATTTTTATAAATTGGCTATCCAGACGTACTTAGGATCCAATCTGTTTAGAGTATGTTTGGATAGTCAATTTATAAATTCTTTTTAAAAAAATTAATATTAAATTAGATTATCCAACTAAAATGTGTATTGTTCAGATTAATGATAAGGTAGATTTATTATAATTTTATAATTTTTTAAAATAAAAATAAAAAAATAAAAGCAATAAATCTACACCATCCATATTTTTCATATGGACAGTCTAGATGCTCACCAAGTGATGAGCATCAAAATTGGACTCCTATGGTATCATAGTTAAGTTTGATAGTAATAAGTTGTTGCACTATGTTGCTCAAGGATAATTGAATGAACTAGTTTAACTTACTGCTTTGAATATAGGGAGAAAATGGAATTTAAGTCCTATAAGAAGAAATTAATTACAGTTGGGTCCTTGATAAATTTTTTTGAAAAAACAGTTGTAAATATCGATTTAGATAGTTGCAAATTTAAAAGCTTCAATTGCAAATACGATGTTTGAATTCTAAATATAACAATTAGTTTGCAATTCATATTCTTGTTTATAACTGTTTGAATTGATATTTATAATTTATTTAATGGAAAATTTTGTTGAGAACTTAACTGTCTTTAATTTATCCTTTTGAAACTTTATTGTCATTCTCTCTTGTGCATATGCTTTTGAAATTCGTGTTGCCAGGGAAGGGTGGGGGGTTGGGAAAAATATTGAAGCAGCAGTTAGCCGCATAGTAAGTTTGCTGATTGAAAATGGAGACTGCCTCTTTTTCGAGCTTTGCATAATAATGCTAACGAATTGTACATCATAGTTTGTCCGAGTTTCCAATTAGATGTCTGAAGTGGGAAGTTGCTTATAGGATACCCTATGCCTGGGACACGGTTCTATGGAGAGGTGCTTATTTGTGCCCTTCCAGTATTTCAATGAATCCAACAGTAACCCTTTCTCACTATGAGTTCGGGGTCATTGTGGTCAAAGGTTTGGATATAATATAGAAAAATCAAGTGGCAGCTTGTTAGACCCTAGGGACTCATAAGATAAACATGATTGTTTGTGTTTTCATATCTTGGTTTTAGCAAATTGTTTGTGCTAGATTTGTTTGGCGGACACATTTTTTTTATAGCATGGTGGACACCATTTGCGATGCACAAGTTTGAGACCCTCAGTATATGGTTAATATATCCAATCACAGATTGCAGAAGCTCTTTATGCTGGATTTTCATGATTAAACTTCGTTCTGAGTTATATTTGTTGAACAAGCTAGTGAGTTGTATGTATACTTCCTTTTAAGAACTTGTGAGCTGACATTAACCTTGCTGCCGAGGGATTAGGTGTTGAGCTAAGCAATTCGATTTTGATGAATGTTGTCAAATTTGATATGGTGCATTCTGGAATAAGCTAACTATCATGTGTCCTTACGCAAATATCATGCCAGGTAAAGGAACGTGCAGTAGAACTTGCCAAAGCCATGGAAAATGAAGATGGTGTAGAAGGAGCTGTGAAAGCATTTTTTAAGCAGCTTCCTCGGAAAAAACCAGAGCCAGAGCCAGAGCCAGAGCCAGCGCCCTCAAGTTTTTTATCTATAAGTAGATGTTTTGGTTGTTCTTGATTTGATGCAAATTGTTCAGTCCCCAACTCATTTCATCTATATTTTTAATTGATGCTATGATCATAAGATGTGCTCAACCCTTCTCCCTTACCATAAGGTTACTGATTACTGTGCATGCTTTTCTTGACAAAATTCAATTTTAGTGTTGATGCATGTAATTATTTTAATTCGGGATGATTGATACTTAACTTACAGTACGATCGGAGGTTGAATTGTACTTCTTTATTTTGTTTGCTTTGATCAAAGCAGTATATTCATTCTTTCTTAATTATTACTAATATACAGTGTTAAGGGCTTGTATTTTACATCCTTCAAGATCAATAGACGAGGTTTCGTTTTTGTCATCTTAGTTCTTTATTTACCATCAGCTTGTCACTGGGAATATTATTACAACTTACATGGTTGGCGAACTTGTTTGTTGATTTCAATGCAGTGGATTTAGTGTAGCAATACTTTTTAAGTGAAGCAGTATGGTTCTTTCAATGAGGAACTTGTGCTCCGGGTTTTTATTTTATTATTATTATTATTTTTTTTTTTTTTTGGGTCAGGGGGAGGGGTGGTGGGATATTATATCCCATCACGTGAGCATCATGTACATAGAACAACTTGCAGCAGAAAATGTTGAGACGTGCACCTTAACAAGTTTGGTCTGTTAATAATTAAATGTACTCCTATCCCAGCCTATTCCCCACAACAAACATTTGAATTAGAATTTTGCCTTTGGCAGTCTCCAGGAATGCATGATAATTTAATTTAGAACTTACTAGTTTTGGTAAATAATAATTTATTAATTAAAGAATAATAATTACATTTAAAACTAAAATTATAATAATATAAATAAATTGTTCCTTTTTTTTGTGAAAAGTTATACTGAATAGATTAATATGGCTTGTTATATGAATATGCTTTCTATGTTTTATCTTGGCTACTAAAATTTGATAAGTTTTTGAGCTCAACTATCTTATTAATTTATAAAGTACAAAATATTAAAAGTAGATGTTGCAAAGTTGTAAAATTTATATATGTAATTTTTTTTTTTTTAAAGTGAGGGGATATATTTGCACCTTTCACTGTAATATAATGTGACCATTGCCTTTTTGATAAGCCAGCGTTTAGACGAAATACTAAAATACTGACAGGCTAATTTTCATGAGATATGTTAACACTAAATTACAGCAAAAGTCAGAAGAGTGATGTAAAGGGGATAACTGATTGGATTGAACAAGTCTGGAAAAGGACTTGAAAGCAAAGGGGGCATGCAAGGAGTGGGCAATTGCAAGGTGGTGGCAGCGGATAATGGAGACTAGAGAATGAATAGGTAGAAGTATGGATGTTAGGAGTCACTAGGGGCTTAGCCCCATAATCTCCCAATTCGAAGTGCTCTGTGGTCAGAGCATTTATCGGCGAAAGGGAAGGAAAGAGCCAACAACTCATCCCATCCATTATTACTGCCCAATGCTCTCTGCACAATGCTCTTACTTACTCCCAACCTTCTCTTTCCATTTTCATTGGTCCCTTCTGCCGTTATGCTCTTTCAGCCTCCCTCAATCAATGCTCTCCTCTCCTCTGTTTTCTCTGCTTTGTGTTAATCAGGATTTATGCTCCCTTCGTTCATAATTATAAGATACTTTTGATTGATTTACATTTACTTAATGAGATTTAAATTTACATATTCTTTCTATATTTACTCTTAACTTTTAGTTGGTGCAATGCTACAGTAGAACCTTAAAAAATAATTCAATCTTGCTTTAAAGTAACATTTAAATAGGATTGGAGGGAGTATATACTCTTTCCAGTCCCATATATAAGTCATCTTTTAAAGGAAATTTATAGTCTTTTTCATAAGTCAGTTTGCATAAAAAAGTTTGTCATTAATAACTTTTTTCTAATCTTATCCCTCTGTAATTTTCGATGAGTAGAGAGTAAAAAATTGCACAATTGAGAACCTCATGTTGCCAATCTTAGCCAGGGACGAGGGACATAAGATGTTTTGTTTGAGAAATGACTCTCCAAAGGCCCTTAATCTGATCAAGGATGGAAATAATGATGTTCATGAAATTTGGAACTTGATCCTTGAAATGCCACAATATGTTTTCTCTTGATTGGACTGTTGAACTTGGATTTCTTCGGAGAGAAAAACGTGGAAGTTGATAATCTTGCAAAACTAGCACCGGCACTGCATCCCTGTCTTCACTTTTGCTTGTTGAGAATCTTGGTTTTCTTCCTTCTTTTTTTGTAGAGTAGCCGATTTTTTTTTTAGTTTTCTTCATTTATAATTTATTTTTAAAAATGAGTCATTTAATAAAAATTAATTATAAAATTTTTTTAAGATAATATCAATAATTTAAATATTGTAATGTAGTTAGAAAAAACTTATAAATAAAATTGTAGGTAGTTTCTTTAGACTATAATATAAAACATTAATAACTAATTTACGGCTCTAAAGTATATTGATTGAAACTTTAATTTCTTAAAAAAGATTTACATCTTTTAAATTATATATTCATTAAATACTTTATACAAGGTATCTTTTTTTTTAACACATCATTAAAAAAAAGAGTAATAAATAAAGTAGAGATATAATTTAAAAAATAATTATAAAAGTTATCAAATATTTTATATTTTGGACCACGTAAAATTTTTAGAACATGTCATTTTTATCAGGGTTAATAAGTGAATAAGACCCTGAATTATTACTCAAAAATTGTCTTAGACCCTGAACTTTTAAAACATATAAAATAAACCTGACTGTTAACTTTTTTAATACTGTTACTGCCTATGCAAGTATTATAATAATTAAGATTAAATTTGTAGAAAAATAAATCATAAAAATTTAGTAACAGTATTAAAAATTTAGTAATTAGGATTTATTTTACATATTTAAAGAGTTTAGAATTCAGAATGATTTTCAAGCAATAGTTTAAGATTCTATTTGCTCATTAAATCTTTTCATTATGGTCAATCTATGCACGAAATGGAGGGAGTAGTTTCTTGGTGTCAATCTATGCACGAAATGGAAGCATTTGTAATTAATTTTTTAATAGCGAAACTAGTTGACGAGTCAAAATGTGGAAGGGCAAGTGATGAATGTTGAATGGTGGAAAGAACTACAAGGGGGCAATAATTATGAAGACAAGAAGCCAAAGAAACGCTGATGAAACGGCGAGGCTGTCAGAGACAAGTTGGGAACTATGGGGTGGCATCATGCTAATACGAAAACAAAGTAATTGGTGGAATGAATCAAATGCTGTGTTTGGGAAGCGCGAAATGTGTCTTATCTCTTCTCTTCCACTTCCCAAGCCCATACGCACACCTCTCTCCATCCCTATTCTCAACTATTTATAGCTCCCACCGCCCGGTTTTGCCATTCTCAACACTGTGTATTGATGGACATGGAAGATGAGGAAAAGGCAGTCCGAAGGGTGGGAGACGGAGAAGAAGAATGTCGAGTTTTCCAATGCCAGTTCTGTTCAAGAAAGTTCTACAGCTCTCAAGCTTTGGGAGGACATCAAAATGCCCACAAAAAAGAGAGAACGGCTGCCAGAAAGGCTAAAAGGGCATCGGAGTGCTCCTCTGCTTGCCCTCCCCTGTTCCTCGCTTCTCACGCTTCAAGTCTTCACTACCTCCAACCCCATCAGATTTTTTACCCTTTCAGACCCAACGCTGCACCTACATTTGGCGGCAATTCTCTGTTTTGTGAACATGTTGGCGACAGAGGCCTGGGGAATTGGCACAGCAACATGTCACTCACAAGCGACGACCACAGCATTGGCATCTTGAAGCGTTGTCAAGAGAAAGATCAAAATCTTGATTTGACTCTGCGCCTATAGGCTTGTTGAGATGAAATAATGCATCGTACTGAGCAAGACTGCTCTTTCTGGGTTTGGTTTCCTCCCCATATACCCATACTATGTACTATGACTTTTTTTTCCCCCCGCCAGATAAACTGAGGTTGTTGCATTGATTGAGAATGAACAAGAAGATTTTTATTAAAAGATAGTGTGTAAAAGTTGCATCGATCTTGTGGGTGAATCCCAAAAAGGAATATAGTGAGTGTGGAGAAGAGTGGACGTGGAAGAGCGAGTCCGGAAGGGCGTTGGGAGTAGAAAATATAAATGCTGAAGTTGATAGCACAGCATCAGTACTAATTCCGAGTGAATTGAATATTTAATGGCGGGGACCGTTGACCTTGTGGGTGCAGAGAATGTTGATTTGAAGGCTCCAGCATATATTTGCACTTGGAATGTTCACAAAATTTTATTTTATTTTTGCTACATGTTGTTCTAAAACTTTAATGAGTCCAAAAGAAAAAATAATTATATTTATGTTTTTTATCCTTAACTCCAACTATTAATGATGAGTTAAATTTAAAAAAAATATTTATATCAATAAATTTAATGAGAGATATCATATCAGAAAGTCAAAAAGATATAATGGGGAATATGTGATAAACTCCTAGGCTACACAGCAAACTAGATTAATAAATGTAAGGATAAGATGGAAAAAAATAATTTTAAAGGTTTATATTTTAAACTGGAGAAAGTATAAAATAATTTTTGACAAAATTATAAATAGAAAAAAATTACTAAATAAACTCTACAACTTTATTTTTTAAAAAAATATAAATTTTAAATTTTTTTAAAAAATATCTTTTATTTAATAAAATTAAAAAGAAAGAATATAATAAGAAGGAATGATTAATATTGAAAAATATATATTTAATAAACTTTTTTTAAATTATTTTATGTTTTGAAACACTAAATTATTTTCAAAAATTTCATTCACAAATTACATTTCAAAGTTAATATTGATGTGAGACCACTTAAATACATCACACACATGCAACTAACCTGAACAAGTCATCACATTATCGTAAACACACAAATTCACCATTTGGGCACAGCCACCGAATTACAAGAGATAGAAATTCATAAATTTAACTTCATAAATTTGGATTATTCACACGTTCATCATAGTCATCATCCCATGGATGATATCAATGAGGGTAGAATCAAAAGTGTATA